TTCCTGCGGCTTACGCTGAGAAGGTCCCTTTCTGCACCTTATCACAACACACATTGTATTATTTTAAGTTGTTAATATCGTTGTTAATATCATCATGATGATGATGATGATGATGATATCGTTATAATTACAGTTTTTAATACATTGTTTTTCTCTTTTTTTCTATTATTTCATCATTATCAGCCGCCAGACATCCACTGTTGAACATAGGCCTCTCCCTTAGAATGCGACAACGAACGACACTTTGCCATTTGCATCCAGCGTGACTCTTACGATGTCGTCGGTCCAGTGCGTGGTAGCCACTCGGTGTTTTGGCCGTCGCGTTCGAATTAATTTTAATGAATTAAATTAATATTTACAAATATCTTACTTCAATCAACAAATTAAGACAACAATCCTTGTTATTAAAATATTCTACACCACTGATATTAATTTCATTAAGATTTATTGATGTAATACATCAATAAATCTTTCGTTTATTTTTAGATTTGAATTTCTCTTTTAGAGGTAGTTTCATGAAGTTTTTCTATCGAGAAAATATATCGAGAATATGTTTTGAAAACAATGCTTCAATGCTCAAGATTAACATATATTTCTTTGCTGCTATAAAGTGTATAGATTTTCTTTGAATCTTTTGAAAAACCTATTTTTACTTTATGCAGCGCCTTAAGCTTCTCGAATTATTTTTCCTGACGAGCCTGTCATGACGTGCTACATACAGCAAAAGCTCGCACGTGATTCTTACACAGTGACAGTTTTTCTTAATTATTAAGCCATTTATGTGGTTATAATCATGGAATCAATCAGAATTTTCAAACGAAACGTCTCTCGTCGAGCCCTATTGCCTTGCTTCAATTATCTGCGATTGATATTATTTCGAGAAGGATACAAATCACTGGAATTAATATCCGAATGTTTCGTTTGACTGCGGCCCCCACAATTTATTGAATGAATCTCTATTTGGAGGAGTATTCTATCCTCGGTCTAATGGAGGTGTGCGATAAATATAAACTAATAGTAATAGAAATTGATGTGTTCGTATTGCAGATAAGCGATTTGACATTAAAATAATTTAAGAACTATTATTAAAACAAATTCTCGACCAAGCAACTATAAGTCAATAAGTAAGTGTAATGCTTCCATATTGAATAAAGATTTGAACTTGACTTTTGACTTTGTAGGAAATTCCAATATACAGGGGGGCTTTTCTAAGTGTATCCATTTTTTTTTATTAAATTCTAGACATAAATAATGTTCTATAAAAATGATAAATAAAATGATAAAAATGATAATTTAATTATATATGAATATGTATATAACTTTTATTTTAACTTAAAATTTGATTGGAAACTTTTTACACCTGCCTCTTTTGTCTCTGCGTCGCCCATAGGTTGACTGGTAGAGAATGTCTTAGGCATTAAGTCCGCCTATACACAATACTATTTTTTTTGTGTAAAAGTTTAAATAAATAAATAAATAAAAAAAAAAATATTTTAAATCATTCGTAAGTAATTAATTACATTAATTACTAATTATCTCAAAAAGTGCGTGATTTATACGCAACTCATTTATTTACGCGCGATCATCATAACTAACACGCACACAAGTTCGTGTGTGCGTGAACAGTAAAATTTAGGTATTTATGAATGACTAGAGCGTTGTCAACAAGTTCTGTTTTTACGGAATAAAAAAAAAAATAGTTTGTTTTTATTTCAATAAATGATTATACTACCGAGTTCTGAATCTCCTGTGTAAATTTGGGCACCTTTAAAAAAGTCTCCCTGTATGGGATAATATCGAAGGTAATATGTGAAGTTCATTTTTCGTTTGATAGGGCCACGCGTTAGCTTCTTCGCGATATACTAAATACTATGGCCTTACAGAAGATCAGCGTGAGGTGGAAGAATTATAATTTCAGGTTTCTTCTGGTGAGAGAGATAACTTGGGACTACTTTTCATAAATATTGTCAGCGTATTTCAAAGCCCGCACAAATTGTACATGTCCATGTGCGGCGAATTCACTTAACATCGCGTTAACCGCATACTTCTTTGGAAACTTTTGACATAAAAAAGAACCAATAACCATTTTTTCTTGAATATCTACTGTATTCAAGAAGTTATAAAATCTCTGACAGCTTGGCGTTAATTTTTATATAAAAGGCAAATTGACGTCAACCATTTTAAAACAGAAAAAAAAAAAACATCAAAATTTCTTGCTGGCTTGAAAGGATTTGGCCCTTTGGTCCTTTTGTAATGTGGTAAGTGGATAAGAATATTTTTATGTTATAGTTTGAATAAGAATATTTTTATGCCAGAAATTTATCTAATTCGAAAAGTTATATGTAATTATCGTGTTTTATTATTCGACAATGACTGATCTCTTCCTAACTTTCGTATTATCCTTACAGCGCTTTAAAGTTACTTTTTATATGTAATAGCTATTTTGTTTTATAAATATCTGTGTAAAAAAAAGTTATGTATTAGTTAAGTAAGTTAGGTAACTATAAATTTTATTTTAAAAATATGTGTGTAAAGAATGCTTTATACATGTACTTAATTTGCTTTGTTTAAGGATTGTTTAAAAATTAAAGGGGTCGGGAAGCGGTAATAGTAATAAAAAATCAATTTGCTCAGGAATAGGTAACTATCTTTATTATTAAAATTAAAACCACCAATAAATATACATTTTAAAACGTTAATTATTTATTACGCATATGTTAATTGTATAATTATAAGATGAGGCGCGGTCTAGTTTGAATTTCGAAACACTTACCAATAACTACGGAGGCAATACGCTCCGGGGAGGTAAAATATTTTATTGTCATCATCATTTATTGTCAAGTCACTAGACCGCGCTAACAAACAGCTTATGTTAGAATTCATGATAAATTTTTATCCATATTATTGTCAATTCTACGGAAATCTTCCAATATATAGAAAATGGATTTTTATTTTAAATTAAGAACAATTTTAAATTTTCATATTGCCCATCTGTTTAATTTACATTCAAGTTGATAATGCGTATTATTACAGTAAGAATAGGATATGGTTACTTAATACATTCACTAATTGATATAACCTCAAGATATGTTCGGGACATCGATTAAGGAACCCACGCGATCTTTCTACCAGCCACGTGGGCTTCAGACGGTGAAACAACTTGTAAAACTACAGAATATCGATAGAAAATCAATATATAAATAAGTTATGTATACATATCTCGCTGTGTCGCAACATGTGGCACTACAACATGTCGGCGTCCTGTCCGTTACAGTATATAGAAGTTTAATGGAATCCATTGACCCGCTTAAAGCCGTTACACATGAGTTATATAATTTTTAAAGCCAAATTTCATAGTCTGTGAGGTTATGCCGGCGGCGAGCGCCGATACTTATAAGTAGATAGACGATAAGATACAGTTAATATACCTAATACATAAATAGTTAACAACTCCGTAAATACAGCCTTCAACCATCAGTGCGACCTCTGTTGGAGGTTTTTCCGGCCTGTACAATTCACACTGTCGATATACGTCGCCGGTCACTTGCGTGTCGGATGCCCTAACTCCCCCAGGGTCGCTACACCTAGATCTATTTCCAATAATCCATATATCATATCGAATAGACGCCCGAATGCGCGCCGCTATACAATTATCTAATAAACTTGAGACATTTAAACGTAGTTAAAGCATTTATTCCCAAATATTCTGCCTTCGAGTCGGTCAGCCGTCTTGGGGGCTTTTGAACGGGTTTGTTATAAACATGCGTCTCGTGAGAACGGTACACTTAGCGTCTAATCACAACAAATATGCTTAGGTTTATGTTTAACGCAACTACGCGATTACATTATTTATAGTAGTATATAGGAAACAACAGAATGTTAAATATGACAGTTTATTGCGCACCCATATCAATTGAACTGAAAATTATTTTCTTGTTCTTCGTCTAATAATATTACATAAATTAATTCATCACGAAAAAAGACGCATGCGATCTTTCAAGCATATTGAATTGTATTTGATGAAGGATGAAAAATTTTGCACAATCTTAAGTAAACTTATTTAATTATATATAAATAATAAATAAAATCAGAGACTAGAAAAATACCTGTCACAAAAAATGCTTTATCAGTGCCACTCCTCAAATTCTTTCGTATTTAAGAAAAATAAAAACATAAATACATTGTCTATTTATTCTTCTTATTTAGATTCTGTATATGGAAGTCGTTTTAATCTGTTTTATCTTTGTACGTCTTACGGTGGGTAGCGTACTTACGCTTCGAATCTGAAGAAAAAGAATAATCACATATACATATTTATATAAAGCGGATTACCTATGAGCGAATCGCTCCAAACATTTTAACTCATTCGAATCGAAGGGATAATACAAATATTCCTGAAGTAAACGCATGCCGATAATAATAAAATGACATAGATATGCAAACAGACATTTACGTTAGATTCTCGTAAATCCTACACATCAAATTTGTAAACGCTACTACAATAATTTATAGAAGGTTATTAAAGGTAAAATTCCGTTAATATTTATTGTCCAATTCGTTAACGTCATGGGAATTGACGGTTAATAATTGATTGAAAGTATTTTCGAATTATTGTCGAATTTTATTGTTAATTTGGAAGTTCCACTAGTATACGCCCTCGGCCTACAGCCTTGGGCATTAATCGTTCTAAATCTTACGACTATAAAAATACAATGCGACCATTCAAAAAGGATTAAAAACATCGCATACCTACAGAGAAAACCTCGGCTATTAATTTAATGTAAATATAAAAATATCGTTAATGCTCCGAAGCTCGCAAGGGTTAAGAGATTATTGTATCATCAAGCGAAAGCTTAAAAAGGATATGCTTCCGATATGGCCATGTAATACTGATAAGAATTAAAGCCTGCAGAGTTGTACGTTTAAGAGGGTGAACCTCGGAATTTTCTAGAACGCGCTAGAACATAGTCGTTTCGGTTGACGTGAGCGGTTGGTGTTCAGTAGACGTATGGGACGAACTCGGGGGTCGGGTAGTCGAAGTAAGGGTGGTAGAAAGTGCGACGGACCGGTGGCACCATCACGTCGGAGTAGCGGGAGAACTGGGACACTTGGCGGCTGCCGCTGGGTGGTTTCCTGGAATAGGAATATTCGCTGTAATACAGACTATAATGTGGTATGTGGTGGTGTGTAACTTTCAGTTAGCTGTGGCACCTAGCTGGAAACAGGCGAAAGAAACTCCGCAGGTATCCTCTTTTTCTCATTTTTTTTCCTTAAAAAGATTAAAATATAAATAGCTTGTGTATGAGGTGATGGGTGTACATGGCGCGCAGTTATCGCTTACCATCAACCGCTTGCACGGTTGGTATTAAAGAAATATTTTTTTTTTACGGAAACATTACTTAGAATGCCTGGCGCTCGGTTCGTCGGATGGGTATTCCACTTGCACCTGCTGAAGTCCACGTGCTTCCATTTCGCCGTAGTTGCCATAAGCATAGTCATCGTTTCTGAAACAATAGAATAAGATGGAGATCGTGGTAATCTGCAGCTGAACATAATATGGGCATCGTACGAGTCAATCTGAAAAAATCGAATAAGATGGATGTCGTAGTAATCTGAAGTTGAACATAAAATGCTCATTGCATAAGTAAAGATTCTTTAACTTTTAAGCTCTTTCCTTAAGTTGAAATAGGACTTATGGCTTCCTCAACGAACTTTCGTCAAACGATGCGAGATCGATATTATTATTAATCTATTATATCAATTGAAAGATAGGTTTTGTAACTAAAGCAAGCAAACAAACTTCAAGCTTGACCCAATTTTCATTAACAATAAAGCTTACGACTCATTGTATTATTTTGACGGAGTTATCGAGTTGAATGGAAAATATTTATATCTTGAGCACAACGTGGGTTATATATAATTCATAATTAATAAGACTTTTGGCTTATTAATCATGAAATTGTAAAGACACTCTTGATAAGGCCAGATAATAGTAAAGATTTTAAAGTGCACACTTGCCCTACGGTTTTTAAAAACAATAATCATATAATTAATAATATAAAATTCAAGCACACAACGAATGCAACCAAATACCGTGAATGCCGCCAGCATAACTTGCAGCAAAGCATAAAAAAAAAAAATATGCTATTCAAAAATTTACGATACATGAATTTTCGATAAATTATCAAGCTCAGTGTCCGGGCGCTCGCCTTTTATTCAGTATACTCGAGCAACATGAGTACGATCCCCTGTGCTGGCACCAATGAAATTGTTAATTTCAAGTGTTGAATTATCACGTGCTCAGCGGTGAAGGAAAACATCGTGAGGTAACCTGCATATTTTCTAAATAATAATACAAAAAAAGTAATTCGAAGATAGTGAAGTCCGCCAATCCGCATTGGGGGGCCGCATAGTGGACTATGCCCTGATACCCTCTGTACAGAAGAGGCCTTTGTCCCGCAGTAGGACATGTATAGGCTGATACTTGACTTTACTTTTTTTATATCAAGCTTCATTGACATTGATTTTGACTCTTCAGTTTTGGAATGACGTTGGAAGAGGATATAAATGTAAAATCCGGGTCCAGTTGTGTCCAAAAGCCGACCAAGGTCAAATCATCAAAATCTGTCATCATCAACATAAACGCGTACAGAATAATTATACGTATGTGTACTAATTTATACGTATAATTATTATGCCAATTATTTAATTACTTTCATTTAATTAAATAATTTATTTAATTATTATGCAAACAGTAACAGTAAAATGTACTCACCCACGGCCCGCGGCAATTTCTTTCAGCTCTTGCTTCTGTTCTGTTTCGTATTTTCTCTGAAGTTCACGCACGTGCTCCTGACGGATGAGTTTCTTCAAGGCTTCGAACCTAGAATAGGATACATCTGTGAACTACAGGGCGGCTTTTCTAAGTGTATCCATTTTTTTTATTAAATTCTAGACATAAATAATGTTACATAAAAAATGATAAATATTTAAAATCACTCTTGAGTAATTAATTACATTAATTTGAATTTATCTCAAAAAGTGCGTGATTTATACGCAACTCATTTATTTTACGCGCGATTATTCATAACTAACACGCACACAAGTTCGTGCACGGTAAAATTTAGGTATTTATGAATGACTACCGCATTGTCAACACGTTCTAGAATAGAATGGCGTTTTTTTTAGAAACAAAAACGTTTTTTATTTCAATAAACGATTATAATATCGAGTCTGAAATTCCTGTGTAAATTTGGTCACTTCTCAAAAAATCTCCTTGTACAACTATATTATAGGTTATTTACCTATTATATCATTGTCAGTTGTTCTGGGCGAGTTTCTTTAAATGCACACATTGTATTGGACTGTAAATTAAATCAACGATAAGTTTCTTTTTCTTACAATGCCAAGTGGACAAGCGAATAGACATGTGGTTTACTTGATGTTAAATGATGACCCATGGTTATTTCTATTATCGTTTTGGATTCAAAAATACATAATTAGATGTAGTGTTCGCTATCTGATTCATATTTCCTAGACGAAAATCTCACTGCCTTTCTCAGATGATTCGACTGTAACAGGGAAATAAGATAAAAGGGGGATAATAAGGGGTTTTATTGTGTTACCGGTCCCTTTGCGGCGGCACCATGAACGTGGGGTGACCACGGGATCTTGAGGGGCCGGGGTATCGCAGAATCTTGCCAGACGTGCGAGGAACGTTCAACATTCCAAACATCTGGAGCAATGAAGTTACTTTAAAATTGTATGCAAATTGGATGTATTGCATTAGGAACAGTGAGTAAAAGCAGATTTTTTTTATATTTCATCATTTTGCACTAACGAAGGCTACATTAAAATTTTACTTTCGAAAACTCTCTTTTCTCGTATTTAATTTAGAATCAAGTGATACTGTTTTGTTTATTTACGCAAGAGAAATCGCCATGAAATCGATAAGAAAACACTTAAGTACTGAACTCTCTTCCATTGTTTCGCAAATTAAGGTCAGAAGAAATGTCAAGGAAAATAGCACCTCAGAGGTGTTCCTTTGGTACAAGAATATTTAAGCGTTAACATTTTTTACTTCTGTTTCGAGTTCATAAAAGCCATTTAAGCATATTTTTTCTTTTTAGAAAAAAATTTAGGATTTACTAATATTATTACCTCATCTTTATATATTTTTTTTAATTTTAGAAACTATTTATTTAAGAAAAATATTACCTCGTCGTAATCAGGAGTGCGCACCACATTCGGAGGAGCCTTGGTGACCACCCGTCCATAAGCTTCGCGTGGAACCGATGGATATTGATATCGGAATCTGTGACAGATGGTATTTTATTGAAATTTTAATTTTATTACAGACAACCTACCCAATTAATTGGTAGTTGTTACTTTTATCCTTTTTAAATTATTTCTATAAGACGGGATAAGTCAATGATTATGTAAATCAATGCATTGACGCTATAAAAATTAAACCTCCTATCGTTTCACAATTATACCTATTGCGTACTCGCAATCGCCCCTGAAATACTGATGTATTATGATTTAATTAAATACTAATACTTAATTACTTTAATTATATACTACTCCGTTAGGGTATAAAGATTGAGCCCGTGCTTGTTTCTGTTTTGGTTATATTAGCCACCAATGAAAATACTATTCTATATTAAGTTATTAATTATATAATTGTAAAAAAATAATTTTTTTATTGTGCTAATCTCTGCACTTAAGATTGAACATTAAAATATGTAGATAAAGTACGAAAAGATTGTTGAGCTAAACGTTCAGCCGTTTAGGCCAGTGGCTAGAGCACTATAAAAAAATTAAATTTCTAAAAAAGCAATGGCGACATCTCTCGTTCGAATTATCGTTGTAAAACGATATTCGAAATTGTTTGTATGCTGGAAAGGATATAACAATGGATGCGCCAAGCATTGCTTCAAATGGTGAGAAACAATGTAGATAAAAGACGTTAAGATTTTCGTCGGGGTGGCACTCAGCCATTTAGCTCAGTGGCTAGAGCGTCAGGCTGCGAATGCCGAAGACGAGGGTTTTATTCCCACAGCGGCGACAATCTTTTCGTACTTTTTCAATATATTTTAATGTTCAATCTTAAGTGCAGAGATAAGCACTATAAAAAAAAAATTAAATTTCTAAAAAAGCAATGGCGACATCTCTCGTTCGAATTATCGTTGTAAAACGATATTTGAAATTGTTTGTATGCTGGAAAGGATATAACAATGGATAAATTTCTCAAATGCTAAGAAACGATGTAAAAAGCGTTAAATGGCAATCAGCCGGTTAGCTCAGTCGCTAGAGCGTCAGGCCGCAAATGCCTAAGACGTGGGTTCGATTCCCACAGCGGCGACAATCTTGTAATCTCGTAGTTTTTCTACATATTTTAATATATAATTGTAAGTTATAACTATAATATTATCATGACGTTGCAGCAACCTAGCTATAATTCTGACGGCACTGCACTGCCACTAATTAAATGCTCGAGTTTAAATTTTAAAAAATGAAATTTCCTCTCACAGTTTAGTTTCCCTAACACAATAAAGAAAATTAAGTATTGCATAATTTCTATACTTAGTTTTGTATGAATATAATTTAACAGATATTCAAACAATCCAAATAGCCTGCATTAATAAAAAAAAATCTGAATGAAGAAATCAAAATAAAAAAAAAAAACAAATTGTAGTTTAAAACTTTTTCAAAGCTTTAAGGACAGAGTTAAATTTTGTTTATTAATGGCGTAATTAAATACGTTCAACTTTCGCATTAAAAAATGAACGGACAAAGGTGCGGTTTATGTTAAGAAAAGCGATGGTAGTAATTTTTTTGTGCAGCCAGAGAATTGTACCACGCCAAATTGAAGTGAATTTTAATACACTTTGCCGACAATGGATCTTTTGTATACGAACTGACATTCATTGTTGCCTTCGCGTCAACCTCGGCCGCCCCTCACGAAATGACAGAATTAACACCGACGAAGGCATATTGTTCGTTGGAGCGAAACATTCCAAATAGATTTCATTTTAGAAAATGACTTACTAATGTAACCGCTATGAAAGGACGTCGAGAGGAAACAACTTTGGCTCTCAAAGGAACGTCAAAAGGCATTCCATTAATAAGGAAAAAAGTTAGATATGGAAATAGCTATTGTGTAGATGCTGTTTAGATTTCAGATTATATTGGATTTAATTTTGAAGAAAGATAAACGGTTTCGTTTAATACGAAATTGTTTGGAAATAAAAATCTTTTCAAGATATTTATGTATATTTGCATTTAAAACTCTTACATAAGAAGTGATTTGTTGCTATGAAATTCTTTTACCCTTAAAACTAAATCAGTTTCCTTCCAATATAATATACGGATTTGATAAGTAACAATATGAACGTTAAGTAACAATATCATAATCTGCTTACTATTTTTTCAATACTTTTCTTTTCTAGCTAAGAAGAATATTAAAAGCATTTCGTTCGACAAATATATATATATATATATACAGCGTGTCGTTACCATCGCGACAATAAATGAACACACGTCTAACACTACTTGCCAATAATCATAAAAAAATATTAACGTTAAACAAAATCCATAATTAAAAAAAATATTTTTCAAACAAACTAATTACGTAAAAAAGAAACAAAATTTGTAACATCCTATACAACTCGCGCCACAGCGTCGCATTACAAGCCTCTCCTTCTAACAGTATGTTTTGTCTTTTTTTTTTAATACAATTTTAAAAATTTATCCTCTATATGTGTGTTCATTTATTGTTGCGTTGGTAACGACACGCTGTATATGTAAAAAAGTGTATAAATGTAAAAAAAAAATTATCCTTTTTTTTCTACTAGTTTTAACTTTACTTGAGCCAGAACAGAACTTGAGTCAGAACTGTTGTTAGCAGTTATGCAGTCTTATGACCAAAACACACTTGCTCAATAAAGATATATTCGTCAACGCGGAGACATATTGTAACCGAACGGAGATCCAAACGCATGGTAATCAAAAAAGAGTACAGACCACGAGTCTGTAGAGTTCGTTTTGTTAAAATAACAAAAAAAAAAGGATAGCAATGAAGCAGTAAATTAGTAAAAAGGAAAGTAAAGTATCAGTAAAAAGGGATGGTAGTATGGTACCTTGGGGCAGCCCTTGGCATAGTGGTATACACTGGCCACTCATTGTACATCAGCGGGTCTCTGTAGGTGCTCACTTCGTTCATTATCTCCGGCGCCCGAGCTTGCCTTTTAGAGAACCTGCAAATAAGAAATATATAAATACTCTTCCTTAATTTAAAATAATTATTTAGGTATAGATTTTCGCTTGTCACCTGATTAATAATTGAGATATTATAAAATGTAAAGTGCATATAGGTATAAAGAATAAACTTGATTCGTTTATTCTGGGAAATAAGTTATGTTTTTAAATTTATCGTTTACGCACGGCAATACGATTCTAAAATTTATATTGAACAAAGTATTGTCTAGTTTGTAAGGCATGTGAATCTCGCCGAGTTTTTTTAGAAATTTACGAAAACATAGAGATAAACTGAGAGAAATGAGTCGAAACAAAAAATAAAAAATTTTAAAATCTTAAATAACTGTTATGTGTGATTAAAACGTGGTCGCTCCAGTCCCCCAGCTATTAGTCCGATATTCTAAAGATAAAACTTATAGTTTAGGTCTTGCAAAACTAAGATAATATTTAGATTAATGAAGGATGTTTAAAAGAAATTAATTTTACTATGAAACAGTAGTATTATAGTGATATAGTCAAAGTAGTGCTTGAATATCAAGCTCCGATTAAATTGGAATTCTTGATTAATAAAAAATATTCACTATAAATGAACTGTGTATTTATCGTAGGTTCATAACAATTTTTGAGAAGGCCGGTGTTCGTGCGTCTGCGACAGTGGTAGTGAGCGAGTGTCGCGTTGGTGGGGTCGAGGTGCGCTTGCGATGACCGCTATTGCTTTTGAATAGGCTCAGCAGTTAATGGCAACGCCGGACCACGATGACGAGGTCGACGTGACGTCAGGAACAGTAGGGACTTATAACAGATATCGTCTTTTGATTATTCATTTCATGTCCGAAATTAAAAATATTGCAATAAAAGCAAGAAGAATAATTATTGACTATGTAATGTTATGGAAAAATAACCTACATTTTTTTTCTATTTCTTGTGTGCTCAAAGGGAGAGGTTATGTAGGGTTAATTAATTCTTGTGTGTAAAACGTTTCACCGTTAAAGGAATTAAGCGGTTGAGAGTGTCACAACATCGTTATGTAAATGAACTAAATTTTACAGCGCCGTACAGCAGCACACGTGTGGAGTTAGTTATTCGTGTTTCATAAAGAGCTTTTAAATTTACGTACTAAAATTTTAGTTTTTGGCCGAGCTCGTATCGTAAAATTATGCAAAGAATATAAATGAACATGTAAACAACTTGGTGGTATTTTTAATTTTTAACTTTTCATATTTAACATAACATTTCCATTTTAATCTTTCCATATTTAAAAGAGAACAATACGGCTTTCTTTATTGCTTAAACTTTTCGGAAAGTTTCAAGAGTCGCTACAATCTATACTATAATAAAAGAATAGAATCGGCGTGTCTGTACATTGAATATGTTTATGAAAAAATATAAAAAGAGTTATAGGAAACATAAAAACAATTTTTGGAATTTTTTTCTGTCTGTCTGTCTGTGCGCGATAAACTTGAAAACTACTTATCGGATTTGGTGCAGTTTTCACTGGTTACTGAAGCAATGCTTGGGTCAACATATAGGCTTTGTTTCCGATAGTTAGATAATTGATATTTTCCCAGATGATGTATTTCTGTTGCCGCTATAACAACAAATACTAAAAAATAGAATAAAAAACCTTTAAGTGGGGCTTCCGTACAACAGACATGATTTTTTTGCCTTTTTTATAGATTATGGTAAGGAACCCTTCATGCATGATTGCGACTCCTACTTGGCTGGTTCTTGAATTTATATAATTTAACAATCATCATCATTTTACAGACCATAATATAATTATAGTTTATATAATTTTAGTTTCATCCAATTCAGCTATAGTTATTTTTTGTTTTTAAGTTGATACAACTTTTTTATTTATGAACCGATTTGAATAAAACTAACACTAAATGTACGTAATGTGTGTACTACAATACATTAGTGAAAGTTGCATCCAAATCGGTTAAACCGTTTAAGATTAGCGCACACAAACGCACATACACACAGACAACAATTTTAACAACCATTGTTTTGGGTTCTATTACGTTGATAAAACGGGGGACCTTTAATAGTAGTTTTTCTCAAATGTCTCCTATGTACAGACAAAGACATGTTACTTTTTAAACTTTAGAAAAGTTATTTTTATTAAATGTATAGAACAGATATCTGTCTGTATCTGTCTGAATTTTTCGCTTTCACCCTATTCCACGAGGACGTAGTCGCGATTAACAGCTAGTAATTATATAAAAATAATTATCTTATACCTGGAATTTACGTATTTGTTAAATTTAGACAACAAATACATATTCGGTGAATTTACTTCTTTCTGGTATCTAGTATTTTTTTAATATTTTACTGTTTTCTTAATTAATTGTACTTAATTAATTGTATGCATAATAAATGAGATTTTTAGCAACTATGATGTTTATATAAAAAAAATGAGTATTATGACCTGAGAGAGTCAAGCGAACAGGCTGGCTGTGTTGGTTGAGCAGCGATGGTTTGCTGATACTTTAACAACCTTAAAACTCATGTGCAGTTAACTCACTCAAGTACCACGACCTCTCAGAAGACTGGCGTAAAGTAGAACTGTTACACTTTTGCGTTCCGTCTGGTTTGTGAAGTACCCGGAGCCCACTTTATTTGAAGGTGGCAACGCATTTGCAACCCTACTGGTGTAGCAAAGTTTAAATAGAATTAGTACGGACAAGTCCTATGCTTGTCAATTTAGATCACTGAATAAGGTTATTTATTACTCAATACGTGTGAAAAATTATTATGGTTACCTCCACATGGCTTTCAGTTGATCGCAGGTCGGCTCGTCCTGCTTGGTCGTGTCCCGATCTCGGACCCTCGCAGGACGTTGTGACAGCACAGCATCCTGGTTGATCCTCTGGCCCAGCACAGCGCTGGCCAGCACCAAGAAGCACCAAGTGCGCCAAACCGTACACATCCTTTTACAACAAGACAAATCGACCCGTTAGAAAAGAATTTCCTGTATAGCCAAGATTGCAGACTGCTGTTTCCAAAACTGCGTGTCGTAGAAGATTATACCTAGTCCAGCCATAAGTTCTGTTACAAATGAAAATGCATTTTTTTTAAATGAAGTAATGTAATATTATTAAAATTTTTACCTACATATTTATTAACGTCTCAGCAAAAAATAAAAAAATATTCTATTCGAAATTGCCACCTAGCTTTTGAACAGGAACCTTTAATCTGTTTGGCAACGAATCTATGGATTTACGCGCTGTTTCCAAGGGTAATTACGCCATCGCCATTGATTGCCTCAAAAATTTTTTAAGAGACTCAATGTCACCGTGTCGTTTAGAGCAGGCCATGTCCTCTAAAACTGACCATAATTCGAAGTCTAAAGGGTTGAGGTCTGGGCTAGATGAGGGCCAGTCTTCAACTCTTATAAAGTCCGGAAGGTTGGTTTCAAGCCAGACTTGGGTAGTTCGTGCCTTGTGGGTAGATGCAGAGTCCTGTTGGAAAGTCCACGGTATATTTTTAAAAAGTGTATTGGTGAGAGGTTTCATAACATGATCTAAGACTGTATCTTGTTACACTTTGGATGAAGTTTTACTCCTTTTTCACAAAAATGTTGTTTTGTGACTCCTTGACAAGACACGCCCCACCAAACCATCACTGACGCAGGATGATGACCACGTTGTACCTTACCGATAACTTGAGAAGCTTCTTTAGGACTGTGAGCGTACACTTTATCATTTTTCTTATTGTAGTGTTCTTCAATCGTGAAAATGTTTTCATCGGTAAAAAGGATATTTCTGCGCGACAGAAGGCGTTTTGATCGATCCCCTTTTTTTCATTGTAAATTGATTTACGGCATGCCCTGTATATCGGCGATAAGCACCGAGCTTCAGGTCTTGTTTTATAATACGCGACAGAGTTCTAGCGGGAATCTTCATTTCTGTCTTTAACAGCATTAACAGCCTTTGTAGTTCTAACAACACGCGGGCGCCCCGATCTTTTCTGGTCTTCGACAGAAAAAGTGTTGCTGTATCTGTTGATAGTACGATATACAAACGTACGGCTGATACCAAACTTTTGAAGTGTAATATGATCGACGGCTCCATACCCACTTTGTGCAAGGCGATCACGGCAATCCTATTTTCTTTAACACCCCATTCCATAGTGTAATTTGATAATGAACACCAAAATAATATGTGAAATGGCAATAAGTTAAGCAAAATCGAAATAAGTTTTTAAAATAATATACGTGTTCCAATTTCAAAATAATTAAAAATTTGAAAACTTTCTAGTTATATTATTTAAAATGTGTCAATGACAATGTATTTTTTTATTTTATTTATTTATTTGAGCTTCATTGCTACACCTTAAGGTAAGAGCTACAATGGGCGAACTTAATGCCTTATGGCATTCTCTACCAGTCAACCCTTGTCATGGTGAAAAGTAGATGGAGTTTTATGCATTATTAAAAAAAATAGCATTCTATCTTCTTCTCTATATAAACTTATTTTTAATCGGACACTATTGGCAGAGTGGTAGTGGCAGTGGCTGTCGATGCACAGGGTTGCGTCTCGTCGTCGCTGTTCGCTTCCAAGGCAGCCGCACGTCTTGCGATTTTCTTCGATTGGAGGCGGCTGTTAGCATTGCGAGCACATTGTACTGCGGTGGCTTTCGTAGTGCTGGTGATGAGGTCAATCCAGCGCGTGGGGGCTCGACCTCCAGGTTTTTTGCCTTCTACACGGCCTTGAATGACAAGTCTCTCCATAGATCTCCATCTTCCCTTCTAGAGATGTGCCCAAAGAACTTGAGAATTCGTAGTTGAACATTCGACGAAAGTCTATTTTCTATATGAAGTTCTTTGAGGATGGAAATATTAGTCCGAAACGCTGTCCACGGAATTTTAAACAGTCGTTTCCAACATCACACCTCCAAGGCATCGTAATCTAAGCGACCATGTTACAGAAAGATCGGTAAATATCAGACATCTCAATCATTATTCAAACCTTTGTATATAAACCATAAGGGTAGAAATACTCCTCCGTCCGTGCAATTTTCGTAAAAAGGGGTACAAAAATTTACTTTACGTATTAATATATTGATTATAGATAAAATGTCCCTATGATTAAACACGTCACGTATTGATACTTAAATCAGATAAGGAAAAAACGTGGATATAAAATTTATTTAAAATGTTTGTAATTTTATCGTATTGATACTTAAATCTGCCACAGATTCAGAAGCGAAGTTGATTTTCAAAGTCTCGATAGCAAATTCAGTGACTACGTTAAAAATTATCTCGTGTCATTGTCTTGTTGAGTTCTCTGAGTAACGAACATCAATCAAATACATTCAAACACATAATTTAAGCCGCCCGATGAGGCTGTTCATTTAAAAAGTGCAGACGCAAAAGCAAACAGTGAACGATTGAAGAAGGCGTGGCGAAGCCTCGACCGAAACGCAGTGTGTCAACAGATACGGTAAACTGCGCTGACACGGTAGGCGTGAACTGACCTTGGCATTTTGCTATCAACGATTAGCGTCGTGCCGCCTCGTTTTTGGGTGAAATCCGAGTTCGATTTTATTAAGTACGCTAGGATGCTGGGGCGTCTATTCAGAGTTGACAAACATGTTTTTCCCTGTTCCACAAATCTTTATTTGTAAAGGAAGTCACAGATATGCTCTATGGGAGGTCAGAACTTCGAGCTGGCCAATCCAAAAGACGAATCTCTAGCATCCCTAGCATATCCTAGAATCGCGGTTTAAGAACTTCTGTTATGTACCGGTGGTTCCCCATAGGACGGACATTGCCTAGATTTGGGGTCAGAAAGAAATAAAGTGTAATGAGGCTTCTTCAAAATAAAGTTATTATTACATTACTTATTCATTTGTTTTCTCGTTTGGTTGGATTTATAAATAAAAAATAAAGATATAGATATATAATGCATATATAAAATAAATATTGTGAATTAAAATAAAGATATAGTGTAAACTAGTGACTCCGTGGTGCAGTTTTCAAGATATTGGCTTCGGCGTCGGGGGTCGTGGGTTCGATTCCCACACGGGACAACTATTTGTGCGACCCACAGATAGTTGTTTCGCATCTGGGTGTTTGTCCTCGTGCAATTTATGTTTGTTAAACGTTCTTACAACACAGGATAATGTTATCCTAAAGTGAGGGCAATGTTTCAAAAAGAAAAATAAGACAAAAAAAAAATAGATATTAATATTGCATATAAAACATATATAAATAGGACCCAACCAGAAGCCCTCGGTAGGGGAGACTAAAACGGCCGAGGGATAGGGCGAAAGGGAGGGAAACCGGCGGGCGGTATCGAGGAGCACCGATTATATTAATTATTATATTACTATTATTATTTCAGAACCAGGTTTTCTTTTAACGAGATTGATCTGTTGATAGCCTCTGAGCCACGAAACAAGGAGCAACCAACTCCCATATGAAGCGTAGTAACTACAATGTTTCAAAATTATTATCGCCTTTTCCTTCCTTCTACATCTATTACTCTTCCTCTTATATTTTTATTATTTACATTTATAACCTAGGCACTTCTTAAGCTTCATAATTCTTACAATATTTAATAAAAACTTCTCAGGTTTCTCATTTTATTGAGGTGTTTCATGAAAATTTACAATTCTCTTTCGAATTCTGCACACCGTTTCAGATTTGCCTCTTAAAAGTTCCGCGAAAAGCAGCTTTTGTTTATGTTTTCCGGGTACGCTCAACTTGAAAAGTGAATCATCTGACGAAATGAAATAGAGCTTGACTGAGTCAGAGGATTGTTATCCAATGCCCCGTTTTAAATATGGAAGAATAATGGAGTACGTGTTATATAAAGGGTCAACCACCGCGGCTCAACGCTTACTAATCTTAAAACGCTGATGTTTTCCTGGTATTTTTTGAAGTTTAGTCAGTAATGCCATGCAATTTTTTTACTTTTATTTTTAAAGGGAAGCTAATTGATTACGTAATTCTGTCAAACACCTTTTCTGCTGAAAGTTAAGTGAACTTATTCCATTAGACATATACGTTGAACTTCGAAACCTATAATTTGAGCATAAAAAATATAATAATAAAATGAAAATCAATCCATCAAATAGCTTAGTAACTACTAAGGCTCGTTTTTTTCTGAAAAAAAATTATATCATCAGCATCTTATAAGAATACTTGGTTGACGCAAAATGAAAGTTCTTATTACTTTATAATAATAATAATAATAATAAAATATCTTTATTCACATAGACGCTTGCGCGTTCTTATGAAACGTCAAAATTTTACAAGAAATTAACACGTTCGTAAGTTACCACCGGTTCGTAAAGCAGTTTCTGTTGAGAAGAAACCGGCAAGAAACTCAACAGTTGCTCATTTAAAAAAAATCGGTTTACAATCTAATACTACAGGTACAATCAGTCTTGTTTTAGCCTACGTGAGTATCAACAGTATTAACCCCACACATTGCCGTCGTCAAGATATTCGGCAATAGAATAATAGGCTTTAGCCATAAGTTTACTTTAATTTTTCGTTTAAATTCGTCAAGTGGCAGACTTAATATCGACTGTGGGATTTTATTATACATGCGCACACTTTGCCCCATGAACGACCTGTTTACTTTTTGTAGACGAAACAATGGCGTAGTTAGTTTGTCCTTATTTCTAGTATTTAGTTTATGTCTGTCACTATTCTTTAGATAACTATTAATATTATGTTTAACATACAAAATATTACAATAAATATATTGAGACGCAACAGTGAGTATATTAATCTCTTTAAAAAGGTCTCTGAGTGTATTCCGGGCTCCGATGTTATAGATTGCTCGGACAGCTCTTTTTTGAAGAATAAATATAGAATTTATATCAGATGCACTACCCCACAACAAAATGCCGTAAGACAAGAAGCTGAGGAAATAACTGAAATAAACAAGTCTGGCAGTGTCGATGTCTGATAGC